GTTTTCAACCAGGTAATGAAAATTCCCTGACTGGTAGGCTGTAATTATATTACCAAAAGCTCTGGTCACAGCCACAAATGAGCATTTGGAAAAATCTCTGCTTGTACACCAAAAGAATCTAAGAATACAAGAAGCTAATTCAATAAACTAATTTAAGCATTCGAAAATAACTTTTCAGTTGAGGTTTATCACCCCTTAGCAGCAGCCTTTTCCTGGTGAAGTTTCAGTTTAAATTTTCTGGTCTCCAAGAAGAGGACTTGCATAAACAGAAAAAACTTTAAAGTGCTTTTAATAGTTTACTGAAGCTTTTACTAACATCCTTATAAACATGCAGCTAGGCCAAATCTGCACCAGCAAGACCAAATCATGTCATACTGCTATTATTTCCTGGAAAGAGAAAAGACACAATGGAGGTAACGCTAACTGAACAGGTTCCTTGCTGGTATTCAAGGCAGAAGTCCTCAGGTAGAAGCTTGGTGGCACTCCTGGCTACCTGCCAGAAGCATTACAAAAAACAACTTCAGACACTTTCAAACTAAACAACCAACAAACCCAACGGTAATGTGCTGCAGGATAGCGCCCAGGAAAGAGTTCAGCCATGCAAGAGTATCATCACTGGAGGTTTTAATGTATATTTTATATACTATATGTTGGAAGGAGGAGAGAGGGGAAAGAGGGCCAAGCTCAGAGGTCTGTATTCACCAAGTACTACCTTTATCCTCATCACATTTACAATAAAGCAACTGAGAAATACTTAGTTAAATTGAGACTTAAACCTCTAACAGGGAACAGAATTGGAGAGAACAGACACACCGATTTTGTGAAACTGTTTCTTGTAATAGAAAAAGAAAATAATTCCATTTCCCTTGTGACATATTACAAAGTACCAAAGAGAAGTGGGCCAGTAAGAGTCCACAACACACCCTAAGTACAGGCATTTCTGGAAATGCCCATCCATTCAATGCAATGCAAACGCTTCCAACTCATCTTCAGCCTCTGTTAGTCATCCCACGTGCAGCAGTACAGGAGTACATGCCGGCTCAAATCCAGGGACAGCACAGGCACACAGATACTATTTCTACAGCCATACTGAAGGAACATTGCTTAATACAGATGAGCAGTAACAGTAATAAATCAAATCTAAACACACAATCAGTTCAATTTATCTCTGAAGATACTGAAATAGAAATAAATACTGCCTCATGTGATCTAATCCAGCTACCACAACTTCTGAAAATGTCCCCATACAAAGCAAGTTTGAAAGCTTTTCCTGCAGAACGGTTTTACACTTTATCAGGGTTTCTTTGTGGGAGATCTATTGGCTCTAATGAAGTCTGGAGACAAAAGGAATGTGTTACAAGTTAAGCTGATTAGGCACTGAAGCCCAGCAACAGCTAAAGTTCTTCAAAAAGCTATCTTTGCAGCAACAAAATGTCATTAACACGTCTATGCACTTTAACCCCAAACACTTGCGGGGTTTAAGTCTTTTATGCTCATGTATTGAGGCAAACACTCATCAGAACAAGACTTGTGATGAATAAAGTCATGAACTTCCTAGCATTGTCTAGGAGTTCTGACCTGCTATGTACAAGCTACCTCCAAATTTAACATGACTGATAAAATAGAAATAAAAAGCACCTGGAACCAAGAATATATTATTTAGTATCAATTTAACTGATGCGCTCCTCGTGCACTGGTCCCACCTGAAAACAAGCATTCAAAATCTTATTCCTCTACAACCTATGCTGACAGGCCTCTCCAGTTAAAGAACACTCTTAAACCTCTCTTTTCCAAAAAGCCAGCCAGAACATGTTAGTATGGAACTTCCACTCATGCTTTCAGGCTCTTGACCTCTTTCAGAAAATATTTCCTTAGCTTCTAGTAAAGCACAAAGGTCAGAGCAAATTCTGCTAGCTATTGAAAACAGTAACGTGTTAGTAGAATTCCAAAAGACTACAGATGAGGTGCTTTGCACAAATTCCCTCAAGCAAATGCCACGCTAGGAAAGCGTCCTAGGAAAATATGCTTGCCTACTTTGTGTTTCCCCAGGTAACTACATCTTGTGCTGCTGAGACAGCACACTGGTAGATGAAATTTTTGGTCTCATATGTTAGTAGCCATGGAAGGGAATCAGAGCCAGCAAACATGAGAAGTGTCTGAAGTAACAAAATTCTCCTCAAACATACAAAGAAAGCATGCAGAAAGCAAAGGAGTGGAAGAGAAGAAAAAAGGAATGGAAAGAGATGAAATAAAAGGAATGACTGACAATTGGGAAAAAGCTTCCCTTCCTAGAAGTGACATAGCCAAACTAACTAAGCAAAAAATGCACTTCTCTGCAACTCAAGCTTCTAGGTGTCAGCATCTATACAAGGACATCAACTTTCTCTCCTGGAGTCCTCGTGAATACAGAGGCGCTGTCATACAGAATCAGATTTGAGATCCATCTACTCCAGCATGTGCCCAGCATCAGATAGTTTAGATTATTAAAACTATTATGTAGCATGAACTACTAGGTCACTTATCAACCTACTTACAATACCCTCACACTTACCTAAGCAGTTTGTGACCATTTGTTGTTGCAACTTCAGCAAGGCTGGTTAGGATTTTAAGATACTGGACTTCGCTCTGCTGAGACAAGTGTTCCAGAACTTGCCGCAACTGATACATTAAAACAAAAGAAATTGCATAGTGTCACGGAGCATCAGATCAATGTTTAATTTAGAACATTATCACCCAAGCACTAATATCTAGCAATATTAATGTAGATCTATATTGTCCAACATCTAATCTAACCTCAGTTAATATTTCATTATAAATTATAAAGATTACTGAAAAGATACACATTCTTGGGTCACTGTATGTACTACAGGATATGTAATATTATAGAATGCTATGAACGCTGAATGCTTAACTGTGTATTATTAATTCATAAGAACAGCTTATTTTAATCTGAAAAAAATAAGCAGGAAACACTTTCAACTTCTGAAAGCTAAGAGCATATTTTGAGTTTCATAATTCACCATTTACCTGTCTCCCAGTTCATTCTTCGGTTAGTTTATGACACAGTGTAAATGAACCCTGGATCCTAGAGTTTGTTCTCATAACCTTCATTTTTGATCAAGATACTGAATGTCCTTCCTTGAATAAGATGTCACACCCTGCTAATCAATAATTGTTACGATTACCCTCTTCTCAAAATTGTCCCTTTTTTTGCTAATACCATCACTTGGCTCACAAAGTCTACATGTTACAAACACACAGACACTACCTTGTCTTCAGGTCTACGTTCTACACTTTTCTGTAGCCTAGAAATTTTTTTGCAGATAAATTAACTCTTCAGTGGAACTGCTCTTCATGCATTCCTATTGTATCCTCATTTAGTCCCTTCTCTCTCTTTCAGAAAGTTTGGTAATCCTTCTCACAGAACCATATAAAAGCGGAATGAAAAGGAATCTCACAAAGGTAATCTAGTCCAACACTCTGTCCCAAGGCAGGAGCACTTGTATCTGTGATCCAAACTGGCTTGCCCAATTTGCCTGCCTGGTTTTTAGATGTCTTCTGCTCTGGAAGTCCTGCAGCTTCACTAAGTGATCTCTTAAAATACTCCACTGTCCTTGACCATGTGAAAGTTTTTCCTCAGGGTTCAGTTGAATCTCTAGCTACAAATATCTAAGGCAGTATCTTTCTCCCTACAGTTTGTCAATAATCATTCTGGTTTGTCAAGAACATTTAAAATGTGAGTCCTAACTTCTAACATACACCCAGTCTCTTCTTCATGTCATCACTTTCAGATAATATGAACTGGTCATATCCAAGACTTCAGGCAGAACAGCTCAGACTTGGCCACAGAAAACCATACTTAAATATGTTTCCATTTTGGCAATAAAGCATAACTATAACATGTATTATCCAGTACATTTTGCATACCCTCTCATTCAGATCTTGGTTTAGCACACACCTCCACCATTACTCAGACAGACCAAACATTCATTTTTCTTGTCTATTGTCTTTGCTTCTACAATATACAACACTACACTTTGACATTTACCTTTCTGGAGAAGGTCTTTTTGTTCCATGGTTTTAATCCTTTAACTTTCTCTTCTATTTAAAAACATTACACCATTTCCCCATGTTTTTCATATACACTTTGAAAATTTTCACCTCTCTGTCATTTTACCTGGTAAAACTTAACCCAGTCTCAGAAATTTAAACGCTGTTTCTGTACATATCTACAAATCTCTAGTCCTGTAGTGGAAATAATGGGATTACAGAGAACATTAAAAACTTCAAAAATCTAGCAAACCAAGTTCAGTGAAGTGGCAGCCAATACCTTACTAAATCTATTCGTCTTTTTTGTTTGTTTACAGTCTGTGAGATTGTTTGCAGTTATTTTCAAGCAAACAATATATTAAAAACCCATAGATAGCTAGATTTGGAAGGGGAAAAGAACATCCCATGCTTCCTTCCCCCTACACAATCAAGAAACAAAAATTATTTTCCTTGCATTTTCTTTGCTTTAGATTGTACTACCCCACAACAATAAAAGAAACAAGGTATAGAAGCAGCACCGACAAAGGAAAAGAACAGTTTCACCTACAGCAATAATAACCAAATGAAATTGCGGCTGCAGCCTTTTACGCTCTAATGCTACAAGGCAGCTTCACACAGATGGGTGCTCATACTCTGAATGTTCATGTTCATTCTAGATGATTCAAGCCTTGAGACACATCCTAAATGGGTATCTGCAGATAACCACTAAATGAAGGAAAATAGGCCCCATTACACAAAGTAATTGTATCTATAGAATGCTCTACCAGTACCTTTGTATTGAAGCTTGCAACAAGCCTGCTCTTTCAGTTCTTACACTGTCTAGATCACTTTGGCAAATTTGCGAAGTTAACACTAAATTAAAGTAGATCCTACATTTAATCCCAAATTCTTGGGTTTATAACTATGTGAAGACCATAAATTTTCCATGGGAAGAAAAAAAAGTACATAGTGGTCAACTACTGTGGCATTGTTAGTCAACTGCTGGTAGCATCTTCTAATCAGGACACTCCTATGAAGCGATCAGATCTCCACAACACAGACAGATCAGTAGCTATAAAACTCATAATATTGTATTACCATGTTCTCCCGTAGATCTTCATTCTGTGTCATTTGAATTATTGTCTGGAAAAGGCGAGGATGGTATTGTATTAAGACTTCACAAGTCTCTCCATACCCACCCTAAAAAGCAAATAATAAAAACAATTTTTATTAAACATTAGAATTGAGGTTTATACTATTATAGGCATTAAAACCTACTGAGGATTTTTTTTTTTTTAAATGTTGAATGGAGAAATCCAATCCTAAACTAAACTGAAATTCAGTAATGTATCAAAGTTAAATATCACAAAACTTTCAGAAGACGGAATCAAATTCTTTCAATATATCAGCTCACATATATCCATTCCCTTTCTTCTGTTTTTTGAAACACTTTCCTACCTAGAAAGCCAAAGTTACACTTGAACAATACTCTACCTAAAAATCTACCAGAGATTAAAAACAATGCAATATTTAGTTCCTCTTCCTATTGCTGATGGATGACACACATCTACCTAATTACACCCAGAATGTAATCCTTCAAAAAAATATTTTCCTAAAGTTTCATAAGGCACAAATCTGACATATTAAAGGAAGAAATAGGATAAACCCACAAAAGAGTTATGCAACTTTAAAATCAATACACAGGTACGATTCCACTTGTGCCTTAGATCAACAGCTCAGACTAACCTCACAGCCTTTTAAGAAAAATGTTTTCTGGAAGGAACAAAACTTGAGTTTGTGGTTTCTTTTTTGTCCACTCTTAGTTAGCACAGGTGCATTTTTAAGCAGGCACCTAACACCTGAATACATGTCAAATTCTACACTGGAAATATCACCATGTAATGTATTAAATGCTGCAACTCCAGAGGCTCCTTCTCTGTGCATGACAGTTTATAACTCACTTCAGTGATAACATATTCACTTAACAGATTCATTTAATTGTTCTTTGTGCCAAGAAATTAAGTATTAAAATTAAAACCACCCAGAATCCACAAAAATTAATGAAAGTCAGCTCTTCAAAATCAAGGTGATACCATGTTGGCAAGAAGTATAGGAATCTATAATTTCAGTCTTCTAAAAACATGTATCTACTCCAAAAAGCAAACCTTTTTGGTTTGTAAGTAAAGAATAAAACCCTTGATGTAAAAGGAAATAAAATATTTTTACTTCTCCTTTTTTACTTAATATTATGAACTAGATGATCTCAAACACAGCAAGATCATCACTACAAAACAGCAAACAGCAGGTGTCACTACTCACACCTAAAAAAAGTCAACAGAATTTTGATTTATAAAGTGGTGCCCTAGGGACTGTAAAACTGGAGACTGAAGCAAGCATTCAAAATATTAATCATAAAATCTAAGAATAGTACCATTAAGTACACACTGGTACACTGTCTTACAGGTCTGTGGCTGCAGAAAGCCTCAAAATTGACTTGACTTCATGGGATTTTATGATCCATTTGCCTTAATAAAGAAAAAAAAAAACAAAAACAAAAACAAAAACAAACTCTGAGCTTCACAGCTGAGTCACTAGTGAGCCAGTATAGTGACCTGGTACTTCTGAGCAACTGGAGCTGAGGACTTACTAGGATTTCTTGTATCCAAAAAGAAGTGCTGTAAGTAACCTAAACTGACCAAGACCTTCCACAGATAAGCCTATGAAATAAATTTTTCAGAGTTAAAAATTCCAAAAATATCCCATGGATACTGGGACACAGCAGTCTACCACATACACACACCTACTTCAAGTGCTGGTCTTAGGCACATGAGAAACCTTCAGAAATTAAATAACTTGAGATTAAAATAATCTGCTAGTACAGCAAAGAGATTTCAACATTTCAACTTTATCCTGACAAATTAATGACGTGCATCAAGGTAATGGGATGTTCACTAAGTGCAGTGATTTTTTTTTTTTCACCTCCAGTTCAGTTTTCTAGTCTGCTGGTTACTAGCAAAGGTTCAAAAGCTTCCATTCATTATGTGTTATTTACACACTGACCTTAAATTGATCCGACAGAAAAACGTGTAAGCACTCACAAATCAAGAAAAGACATCCTAGTACAAATAATATTTTGTATTAAACAAGGAAGTGTTTTGCACAGTAGTTGAAAATAGTTAAGACTTTGGTTCCTCATCCAGATATGCCTTTGAAAAGTAAAAGACTCAGTACCATCTAATTTTTGTTTGTTCTTATTGGTAATATCTCTTCAAGAGAAAAAAAAATACATCAGTTGAGATAAAAAAAAATCACTCCTTTCTGCTTGCCTTTACCTCTTACTTGTTAACAGTTAAGCACCTAAACAGTCTTTCACCATTATACCAAGGATTCACAAACTTTCTAGTCAAAGGAGTTGTGGAAACTTTGTTTCTCATGATCTCCAATCTTGTTAGGTGTAAAGACATTAAAGACTTTTGCAAAGGGTACAAATTTGGAACCTGCCTGTAGGATCAATTTAATTGTAGAAAAAATATTTTTTTATTTCTGTTTCACCAAAAGACTACCAACTTTCATAGGCCTTAAAAATAAAGAAGATTAACACTCATTCAGGTGACACTGTAGGAAGTGACAGAAGTTCACAGAAAGAGAGTGTTGCTAACTCAATACCTGTACACAGAGATCCAGTGGAGTAATACCATTTTTGTCTGGTAAATATTTGGCTCCTCTCATCAAAAGAATTTGTGCAGTGTCTCTCTGACCATGGCTATTCAAAAGAAGAGAAGAGAGTTAACATAGCACTTAGGCTCCACTATGAGTGATAAATCTGACTTTACTGTATCTAACAGAACCAATGTAAGCTAGGAGGAAACAAATAGTTATGGTATGAAACTAAACGGAAACACGGGATGGAAGATAATGCCACTTACATTCTTCTACTACCTTTCAAAGACAGTGCAGAAGCACAATGCAAAACTAGGTATGGGCCATTTATCAAGCCAGAGTCACTCTCATCATTCAGAAATTATTCATCTCAGCCTAGCCTCACAAATATATACATGAGCTGCATTTCCTGAAGGAAAACAAACAAACAAAAACCCCTCTTTTTCAATTCACACCCTAATTTACTTCACAAAGAAAGTTTTCTTCACTGAGTTCTTTGCTCACTCCATCCAGATTTGGGGAAAAAAAAATAATGTAATTGTGCTTTAACCATCAGTAAACCACTAGTAAGATTTTTTTTTTTTTTTTAATTAATATAACATCTTTTTTGCAGAAGAGTTCAATACATCACTCTTGGCTCTAATTTCTTTTAACCAATACATGTTTTGCCTAGCCCTTAAGTGTGATGAGTTTTACTTTTCCATTCAGTCTACTTCACAGCCTCACTCATCTATTTATAGATTGTATAGGACAGTTATGTTTCCTTGAGTCAAGAATTTCATAAACAACTATTCCAACAGACCATCATTGCCTAGAAAAAGACCAAAGATTATTTATATTCCTCAACACCTAGAGCACATGCTTTCCAAAATCCTTTCCTCTGAAGAAAATGAGAAATTGAGTACCAGTGATGAGATGCTGACTTCATTAAGAACACACTGAAAGACTAGTTGACTATTGCCTTCACTGATGTTTAGTACTTATATTGACATAAAATGCCATAGAGAAGTATCTAAAGGGTGAAATGAAAGACTGATACAAAAGACAGAGCAATGAAGGTTATTGATACAAGTTTTTCAATAAGGTTTTAGATCGCAAGCTACTTTGCAGTGCACCCTTCACACAAACATTATGAGTATCTGCTGTCCTGGAGCACAGCAAAGCTGCCTGCACTAACAGTTCAGGAAGGGCACAGGAAAAGTGACAATTAACAGCTGAGGGGCAAGAGGTAGCTTCACTGGTCTCTCAACAGTTCCCAGCTGAGTACTCTTCATCCATGTCCTTCCAGACCCAGGAAACCAACAGGTTACTCTAATGTGCTGGACTGTGCCCCTGCCTCTGGCCTACTTGAAGCATCTCTTCACTGTAATTCTCTAGATTAAGTGTACAATTTAGCACCTTGAAAAAAACAGGGGTTTCAGAGTCAGACTTTGAGCACCAGTACCCTTTCTCCAGCCACTGCTGCCACATCCTGCTCTCCCTGTCATCAGGGACCTATAATCTTTCTTCCCAGGTAGCAGCACCACCAGTTGGCACTTCTGACGAGGAGACATGGACTTCCAATACGCACCCTGTTCATTCTACACCTGCCAGCTGTTCCAACTGTTAATTTCTAAAGAAACATCACAGCTGTACTTGCAACACATTTCCTTCTCACAGAAAACCTCCAAGCTGAGGCAAGCTGCTTACTTCTTTTAATGTGGATGCCAATACCAGTCCCTAAATCAAGCACCAAGGTATTCAATTAGCTAGCAGCTATTTATTCTCTACTTCCCTTCTTCTCAACTGCCAAGAGTTAGTGTACACTAGCTGCAGACCTCCAGAGACCAGGACTCCCACAACATAACTCTTGGCAGGACACCAGATCAGTCCACTTCTCTTTTTGTTTATATTAACATTTAATCATAGGTGAACTATTTAATCTGAAACCAAAACACAGGGATTATAAAATTGTAAGTGTTCCACTAAATAGCAGAAATGCTCCAATTAAAACAAAAGGTCATTTATCATATGTGATTAGTTTTGAAATGAAACTAAACTATGAAGAAAACAGAACTGATCAACATAGTATCTCAATTCAACATTGTAACTTTAAGGCATATATGCGCATTTCATGTGCACTGTAATAGCATAATGTATATTAAAGAACAGTTTAACTTGCCTTATAAAAGGCTGCATTTTTAGTTTACTCAAAATAATCTAAGTTGGTAGACCTCATTTTTTCAGAAAAAAGTTTGGTAGTCATTGATGGATGACTCATGCTACAGCATGCATGGCTCTATCTTTAACAGGTCTGTTAGAAAGAGGTCTCTAAACCTGCAGTACTAAGATAAGTATTCAGACGAGTCACCAAAATACATTCAAACATGAGGCAAGATTAAATACCAGTCAGCTTCTATGTTTCCTAAATTTTGTGCTTTCTAATCATTGTCAGTGTAGAAAGGGGGGAGAAATCCATTTCACTTTTAGTACAGTATTCAAAAGTGAAGAATATATACCTGCAAGCAAAATAGAGCGGAGTTGCCCCTGACACGTTTGGTCTGTTGATATCTGCACCGCTGTCCAGCAAACACTGCACAGTCTAGGAGAGAAGAAAACGTGAGCATTAGAAAAAGAGCAACGGAAAAGTCTATTTGCTTTCAACTATTTAGTGTCATGCATGTCTAAGTACACTGCAGGATCTGACGTTCAGTAATGAATTTCAAAACCAAAATTCCTAAACACTTGTGCTGGGTTTGGAGGGGGGCAGGGGGGGGCATTTTTGGTAGTGGGGGAAGGG